CTATGCAGTTCAGGCTGGCCTTGAGCTCACTTTGTAGCCCAGGCTGGCCTCGAACTTGCAACGATCCTCCTGCCTCAGTCTCCCGAGTGCTGGGATTACAGGCGTGCGCCACCACAAAGTCGTTGCAAGAGTACACCGTCAGAGATCTTGCTCTCTTTGCCACAGTGGAAGCCAAAGAGGGCGCCATCAGGGGAATCCAAGTCAACGCGGACTTCTGAGTTCCCAGAACTGTGTGAATTTAACGTCTGCTGTATAAACCATGAGGTTGTGTGGTGTGCCAGCCTAAGCCAACTAGGACAGCAAGACTATATGAATGTGTGCCTGAGGGGGTGCGTGCCTGGAGTTCCCAGCTACTTAGAGGGCTGAGGCAGGAAGCTCGCTTGAGTTGAAGGAGTTTGAGACCAGCCTGGGCAACACATTGAGGCCTAGTCTCAAATAATGACATTAAACAAAATGTGTGAATGAACTAGTTGTGGTGCACACCTGTAATCTCAGCACTGAGGCGGCTGAGACAAGAGGGTCCTTGGTTTGAGCCTAACCTGGGAAAGAAAGAAAGAAAGAAAGAAAGAAAGAAAGAGAGAGAAAGAGAGAGAAAGAAAGAGAAAAAAGAGAGAAAGAAAAAAAAGAAAGAAAGACCTATAATCCCAGCACATTAGAGGCTGAGGCAGGAGGATCCCTGTGAGTTTGAGGCCAGCCTGGGCTATAGAGCGAGACCTTGTCTAAAATAAAAAGTTACATTGCAGTTTGTTTAGCCGTAAAATAGTGGAACTTCCCTAGGAATCCCAACAGTAATGGTGACCAGAAAGGAGAACTAGGTGCTTTTTTAATTTAGTTGGGAAAAAAAAAAACATCTACAAATCACCGAACAATCTAACCAGCAGAGGGAGTGTGAGGAGGCCTTGGGTTCCCCGTGGAGATCACAGTAGCCTGGGGACAGGCAAGGCCCCGGGAGCGCTCAGGCTCGTGACCCTAGGCTCGAATGCACTGGTGCTCCTGAAATAGGCTGGTTTTCCATGCGCGTGCGCGTGGCCCGCAGAGCCAACCTGAGCGTGGCGGGCGGAGATGCGCCCCCAGGCCAGGTCAACTAGCCCGTCTAACAGTCTCTGTGGCTGCCTGAAGTCCCGAGATGTCCCAGCAGGTGGCGCGCCTCAGCCTGAGCTCAAAGTCAGACGCCCCCCGCCCCGCCAGTTCTGTAACGCAGCGCTCAGGAATGTGTCTGGGGACACTCAGGGGGCCCTGCCGGCGTGCCTGGAGCCTTTTATGGGCATAAACGGGACCCTGGTATCGCCCCCAAGCAAGAATGCGACCCCCGGGGGAGGGAGGGTTGGGCTGGTCTTGCCAGAACCGGAGGGGCCTTCTGCCTGCAGGATAGACAGCCGGGCTGGTCCTAAGCAAGGGACCCACTGTCTGCGGTTCTGTCTGTCAAATGAGGGTGAGGACCCCTACTGCCCAAAGTTACAGTACACCGGGTGTGGTGGTGCATGCCTGTAATTGAGCACTCTGGGGGCTGAGGCAGAAGGATCTCCCAGAGTTCAAGGCCAGCCTGGGCCACATAGTGAGCTTAAGGCCACACTGAACTGCATAGTGATGTTCTGTCTCAAAACAAAACAAAAAAAAGTTACAGTAAGAGTGAAAAAAAGAATACTATTTCCCAGACCTAGCTCAATGCAGGGGACTAGCTAAGTATAATAAATGATAATTCCTCTCATTATTTTATCATATTTGTATTTTTTGAATAAAGAATCCCTGCCGGGCGTGGTGACACAAGCCTGTAATCCCAGCTCTGGGGAGGCTGAAGCAGAAGGATCGTTGTGAGTTCGAGGCTAGCCTGAGCTACAAAGTGAGGGGCCAGCCTGAATTGCATAGGGAGACCCTGTCTCAAAAAGACAAAAAAATAAATACATGAATAAATAAATAAATAAATAATCCCACACCACAGTCAAAGAATTTGGAGCCCAAAGCCTCATATATGCTGCACAAGCAAGCACGCTGTCATGGAGTACAGCCCCAGCCCACAGCATCTGCCTGGGATCCCAGCACTGTGGGAGGCTGAGGCAGGAGGATCCTATGTTTGAGCCCAGCCTGGGCAGTTTAGCAATTTAGCAAGTCTGTCTCAAAATGAGAAGTAAAGAAAGGGCCTGGGGTGCTGGGGATTTAGCTTAGCGGCAGAGTGCCTACCTGGCAAGCGCAAAGTCGTGAGTTCAATTCCCAGTACCGGGAAAAAAAAACCAAAAAACAACAACAAAAAAAATCATGTGTATAAGAAAGAGGCTGGGGATGTAGCTCAGTGTGAAGGCCCTGGGTTCCATTCCCCAGGATTGCAAAAAATTAAAAAAATAAAAACTTGTCAAGACCTGAGTCTTCCCATGTCGTATTTGGAAGTGGCTCTGCCCATGCTCACAGTGTTCTTCATTGTCTGCAGGCTCCAAACTCTCTAAGATCTCGCTGGTCCGAGCAGAGAGTATAGTGGAAGTCTCTATCATGACTCCTCTGGGCCCGTGCTATCCCCGCCGTCTTCTGGCTCCCATGCCACAGGCGCCTGGCAACTCTGCCCTGTCATCTCCTGTCCTCTCCTTCTTTCTATCACTCGTGGTTCTAGCCACACCAAGATCCTCCCTGTTTGCAGAACCCACAAGCAATCCCTGCCTCAGGGCCTTTGCACCTCCCAAATCTGCATCATGAAATGCCTTGGTGCAAGTGTCCCCAGCACCGTGCATCTCAGCCCACAGCATATATTACTTCTACACCATCTCCCGCCCAAGCGGTCACTAGAATCATCTCCCTTTTTATATCACTGTGTTTCTGTCTGTGTCCCCCTACAAGTTCAGTACCATGAAGGAAACAATTTTTTGATGTTTGAGTATGGGTCTCACAATGTAGCTCATCCTGGCCTTGAATTCTGTGTACCCCATGCTGGCCTCAAACTTCCTTCGATCCTCCTGCCACAGCCTCCCAAGTGCTGGAATCACAGGCGTGCACCAGCACGACTCGCTCAAGGATTTTTTGTTTCTTGTTCTGGGGCTTTCATTTCCCCTGCGATTTTTCCTCCTCCATCATTTTCAGTTGTCTTTCCTACAAATTCTTTATTTAAAAAAGAAAACGTCTTTAAAATAGCTCTTGGGAAGGTCGGCGGGCATCAGTCGGCAGCGGGGCGTGCCCCAGGGTCCGGGCAGCTGTGGCTGCGCCGGGGCTGCCGGTGGAGCCACTGGTGTCCAGCGCGTCACCCTGGCGCTCGGAGCGCTCGGAGCGGCTGGAGCTGAGGTCCAGGCCGGGGGGCAGACAGCGCCCCAGGCCTCCCGAAGTGGCCGCGCTCCCGGAGGGCTTGGGGCCGGCCGGGTGTGGCCCACAGGGGCGGCGGCCGCAGCAGAGCAGGCGCAGGAGTGCGCGGCGCAGGTCGCGGTTGGTGAGCGTGTAGATGATGGGGTTCAGCAGCGAGTTGGCCATGGCCAGGCCCAGGAAGGGGTCGGCCTGCAGGAGCACGGGGCAGGCGCGCGCGGGACAGGCCACGTCGAGGAGGAGCAGCAGGAACAGGGGTCCCCAGCACAGGACGAAGGCCAGGAGCACCACGCTGAGCGTGCGGAGCAGCGCCAGGGAGCGCGGGAGGCGACGCGCGCGGGTGGGCCCGGGGCGCGCGGGCAGGCGCCGAGCGTTGGCGCGCACCTGGCAGTAGATGCGCGCGTAGAGCGCGAAGATGGCGCCCAGGATGCCCAGGAAGACCAGCACGCAGAAGAGCACGTAGGCCTTGGCGTAGAGCGGCAGCACGGTGGAGCAGGCGTCCAGGCGGCCCAGACAGTTCCAGCCCAGCGCGGGCAGCAGCCCCAGGAGCAGGGACAGCCCCCAGGCGGCGGCCGCCAGCGCCAGCGTGCGCCCCC